AATTCAGAACTTACAGAACATTTAAATTCAATATCAGTATGGAATCATATCTCATCAATATCAAAAACATTGATTTGAGAACGAGTCTGGCTAAGTTCCGTCTGAGTGACCATGCCCTCAAGATTGAGACTGGCAGACACAATTGTATTCCACTCAGTAACAGGGTTTGTGACATGTGTAACCAAGATACCATTGAAAATGAATTTCATTTTATGGTGGAGTGTCCCAAATACAGTAATAGACGCAGTGTTCTGTTTGATACAGCGGCTGATGTGATTGACTCCTTTCACAACCTGCCTCCTGAAGAACAGTTCACTGCACTGTTAAATAATGATAGTATTGTCATCCAGGTAGCACAGTATATCAACAAGTGCTTTGAAATTAGACAAATTTTGGATTAATTGAAGGAGTTGTTTTATTATTATTTTTTTTTCTCCATTAATATTCTGTTTTTGTAGATTATTTTATTTTATTTTTTTTATTCCTTATTAGTGTATTAATACTGTATACTTTTACTAATATCTGTAACCATTGCCACTCTCTCCGGGCGGGGAGTGAGTAAGTGTTAATAAATAAATAAATAAATAAATGAATGATGTTGAATATGTAAATAACAGTGTACTGATCAGTCAGAGGCGAGTTGTTATATGGTTGTCTATAAAACATGAAAGATTATTGTGTACTGTAACTGAAAAAATAACATTGAAATCAATTTAAAGATGGATATGTCTTGGCATTATATTCAAATGATAAGACCTAGTAAATCATTAAATCAAATTTAACTAAATACATGCCAGCAACTTAAAGGGCGGTGGTCGTCGTGCCGCGTCCTGTTCGAATGGGACTCATAGCGACGTATACAACGCGTGTAAAATACATTGTTTATTTACATGAAATTCGAACACGCGCTGCGCGACGACCACCACGCTTTAATGCTCTCAGATGAAGACCTCTACAAATGCAAAATAAAATTTACATTTTTTATATCACTTTTTATGCTCTTGATATTCATTTTTTTCATTAGTATATGTAGTCCACCAATTGGTTTTTCTAACAAAAGATTATAGGTATAAAGTATGGCATCATAGCATTAGCTGTGAATAATCAAGGTAATGATTTCATCTGTAACTCCTGAAATTGCTTGAAACCTTTAGATACCAGTTCCAAACATACATTTCATGCCAACTTAACCGAAAATATTGGAAATGAATGAAATATTTGTTTTTTAATTGTTAATGTTAGCTTCAGATTTACCCAAATCAAAATGGCGGTTAACGTACACTAATTAAAAAATGTAATATATATTGCATTCTTGTATAGGATTGTAATTAATTGAGTTATAGAGGATTTTAATTTAATTGAGTCGAATTAAATTTCATTCCTATATAGGAGTTTAATTATTGAGATGTTTCACAGATTCCGATACTGGTTCCGGTTCCGGTTCCGTGTTTTATAAACAACCGTGTTATATTGACAAGGCTGGTGACTCGACGCTGTGTGTGTATATTGCTGTCATTCCAAACTTAAACTTCATATGCGGCTAGGCAAGGTATTCTTTCAGTTTTATGGACAGGCCGAGCACTTTTCGGAGGTAGCGAAGATGTCAGTGGCAATCGTAGGTGCGGGGAAGATCGGACAAGCGATGGCAAGAGGTTTCGTTCGAGCCGGTAAGTAAGTTCAAGCTGTCCCACTCGTAGTAAACGGTATAGTGCGTACTATAGTGATTACATCATCCATCTCGCCGCTCGGCATTCAAGTCGATTTTGACATATTTTGGTAACTTATCATGTGTATGTCGGCCTGTGTCTTGGGGAGTATCCACGAACGAGTCGATCACTCAGCAGCCATGCTTGTACACTGTGGCCATATGTAAATTAATGGGAATTTCTGAAGAAAACACATTTGAAATAAAACCGGGCGCATGTCAGTTGTGTACACGTGGCAACGTATAGTTTCCTTCACTGGCTTTTAGTTAAATCCGAGACAGTGATATAACATTTTAACTTGCATGTGTGTTTAGTTGATGTTGATTGTGATATTAAAAACAATTATATTTTTGTAAATAAACAACAGGTCTAGTGTCAGCTGATCGTATTATATCAAGTTCCCCTAATCCTGAGTGCTTAACAGAAATGGGGGTAAGTTATTATTTTTTTGGAAAGTTATGGGACAGTGTATATACGATCATATCTACTACGTGACCCCCTTTCCCCTCATAAACATAGCATTCACTCATTTCCTTAATCTGCTATATGGTCTAACTTGTATACATATATGAATTTTCTCGCATTTCTTCACACTCTTTGCCAATTGAAAAATTTAGATATAATAAAACACCTTGTAATGAACAGGCTATTGGAGATGAATGTAAAAATAATCAGATTGTACAAGCTCTACTAAATTTGAAGCTGAATTAGCAATTTATGATGACAACATTTGCAAGTTATCAACTTGAGAAATTTAAGTGCTTGCTAGGCACTAAAGATAGCTTCATTGTCAATAGTCTATTTTTTTTTGACCATTGATTTTTTTTTTCATTCATACTAAATTTTGTGTCAAATAAAATATCTATATAATGGTTACATTCATACCAGGTAAATTGTTGTATTTGTCTTATTAGAATGAAGCCATTAAACTACAAATTTAAACTACCGATATTTATGATACTTTGAACCATTAGGTAAAATATGAGTTATTTTGACCATAAACACTCCTCTGTAATTTTTGTTATTGCATGCACTACTAATACACCAGATATTTATATACCAGATATTTATTTTTAGTGACAATAACTGGCAAAAACAACATGTGACTATTTTTAGGGGAATGGAAAAAAGTGGGTACACATGACAATAAAATTATTCCATTTTTATAAATTTGGTTATAATTATTAACTCCAAGTTCTTTTCAAAATTAGATTGACATTGAACCTAAAAAGTTCACATATTGTTGACTAATACTAAAATTAATATTAGTAGACAGATTTGGACACAAAATATTACTAATGTTATATGCACTAAAATGTAAAAAACACATGAGAGCATACATACAGCACATGAAGTTTATTTCAGAACAATTAGATATTATGTATGGATTCCTATTCATTATGTATTCAGAAACAGATAATACTGTATAATACTTTATTTTAGCTGGAATTTATTTTCGCTGAAAAGGCATTTTGGATGTTTTGTATGGAATTTATTTTCACTGATTTTTGACAAGTTGAATGTAAAATATAGGAAAAAATGTATATTCGCTGGATTATATTTTCACTGAATCATTTCTTCAGCGAAAAAAATTGCGAAAATTAATTCCAAGCGAAAATAGAGTATTTTACAGTAATTCTTCCACTTACTCCTCCACTCAATAAACACTATTTAGAGATGACTGCTTGCTCAGTTAATTTAAAACAATGGATCATTTGCATATCAAATGATTTGACAAATAAAACACCCTCTTCCTGTTTAACTGGTAATCTAATATTCATATAACTATGGTAACTATGGTAATAAGCAACATATGTTAACAATTGCTCATAAAACACTGATCAAACCTATAGAGGAATTCAGTAATACAGACCTACCAAAGGTTTTAACAAATTACACTCCTATCATTTGATCATTTTCCAAAATAAAATTAATAGTTCATGTTGTCAGTGAAGTAGATTACATGTAACCTACATGTAAGTCAAGTTTAGTCAAAGTAAATTAATTAATTTGTGTTAGTTTTTATGTAAGTGGGAAAAGTTAACACTTCTCCTATTGAAGCCGTTTTTTTCCATTCATTTCATCTATCCGTAGTGGCTTCCCACAGGTTATGAGTTAATGTGGCATCCACTGCGAGTAGCTGTATTGTAATTATGGGAGCACTATAATATAAGTTATTAAAACATGATCATACATCTTGGATTTTAATTCATGTTAAAGGGCGGCAGTCGTCGTGCCGCGTCCTGTTCGCTATGGGACTCATAGCGACGTATACAACGCGTGTAAAATGCATTGTTTATTTACATGAAATTCGAACACACGCTGCACCACGACCACCGCGCTTAAAGACATTTATTTGGAGAAAAACATTTCTGCATATTTTCATTGGTAGTCATTTTTTGTGCATTTCTCAATAGTTATGATGGTTATTCAGAGGAGATGTTTTCCATATTTTTGACTCCCATGTGCGAAGCACAAAATGGGAGTCTTTGCAGTTAGTGTGTCTGTATGTGTGTATGTGTGTATGTGTGTGTGTATGTGTGTCCGACTATTCCACTGCTATCTCAAGAACCATACATCGG